ACTGGGCTGCCAGATCAACTGAGTTCCCTGCTCCCTCTCCCAGTCGGATTGGGACCCGCTGTGACTCTGGCAGGTGTGGGAACTCTCTCTCTCAATCTCTCCTTCCAGCCACTTAACCGATTTAACCCGAGGGGCTCCCAGGAGGCAGCAGTCCCAGTTCGCGTGTTCTAGGAGGAGGGAAAATCAGGACATGGCGTACCGTTAGCAAATCTCTTTTATCAGCTGAGCTTATGCGTTGCGCTCCGTACTGGGCATCAGTGAATAGCACTCATGGCAGGAGACTGAGGAGGCCAGCAGTGACTGTCTCGTCTCTGCACGTGGTCTTCCAGTTTGACGACTGTGAATACACAGGTCTTATACAGGCTTATACTGGGATTGTCCAGCGGTGTGGTGTGTCGCCTGGCCCGGCCACCCTGACCCGTGCTCCTGTGCGTCCCCTGTGTGTCTCAGACCTTCGGCAAGATCGCCATGAAGGACCACACTCAGATCAACCGGAACAACAACTTCCAGACCTTCCCTCAGGCCGTGCTGCTGCTCTTCAGGTGAGAGGCGCCCGGGAGGCGGCGGGCGAGCGGGGAGGGGAACGCAGACGCGTGGACTAACGCCCCCCCCCCCCAGGTGCGCGACGGGGGAGGCGTGGCAGGAGATCATGCTGGCCAGTCTCCCCGGGAAGCGTTGTGACCCCGAGTCGGACTACGAGCCTGGGGAGGAGTTCTCCTGCGGAAGCAACTTCGCCATCGTCTACTTCATCAGCTTCTTCATGCTCTGTGCCTTCCTGGTGAGAGGGCAGTGCCCGGGCGCTGTTGGACGGGGGTCAGGAGGGCATTGCAGTTGTAGACATCCTCACAGGGCTGGTACAGTGACGCGTGCACCCCCACAGGGCTGGTACAGTGACAGGTGCACCCCCACAGGGCTGGTACAGTGACGCGTGCACCCCCATACAGGGCTGGTACAGTGACGCGTGCACCCCCACAGGGCTGGTACAGTGACAGGTGCACCCCCACAGGGCTGGTACAGTGACGCGTGCACCCCC